TTTCCTGATGCGAATAAAATTTAAGGTGTTGCTCATGCTTCAAAATCACACAGGCTAGAAATGAAGCACAACGATGTAAATGTAAACAAAACAAAAATGAAAAAATCAAGGAAAGGCAAATTAGATAAACTGGCCTGTAAATTTCTACGATCCGGCGCCAAAGCCATAGAAATACTTAGAACAAACGAGTGGGACGCTTGGGCTGTTTTTATTTTCATGTTTTGTGGGAATGCGCGGCCCTTGATGGATACTGCAGATGCAGCCGAGTTGCTCTTGAGTTCTGCCCCTTGTCATCATCTTCTGCTCTTATTTTGTAGCACCTCCAATGTTATCCGCATCAGGAAATTGCGTTTTCCTTGTATTTGAGAGCGCAATTAAAGGACTTGGCAAAGTGCCAAAGAGCCGCACGCGACAGGCGTCGCTTGCAACGGATAGTTATTGAACGCGAATCTGCGCCGTAAAAAGGCAGTGGGCGGAGCATGGAAGAATAGCGTGTTTCACGGCCCTGTATCTCCATTCCTGGGCATGTTTGGGCGGGGGACCACGACACATCGACATCTGGGGGGCTGATAGTCTCATACACCCTCAATGTGTATGAGCGTACTATGTGTCTTTAAGTACAAATATTATACAACAAGTCTATAGTAGACGCAAGGAAATATTAAAAGGCACATCACACGCAAAGTAATCAAAATACGGAAGGAGGAGAACAAGGGGTTGAAGGACCAGCTCTGTGTGATGTTCCATGTGCGATTTCCACCCGGGTGGGTTTTGGATGTGTTCCAAGAGTACGCAATGAGCTGCTGGGACCCTTTGATCCAGTTATGATTCCTACAAACGATAGGGCGTATGACAGTGACGTGGCTTTTAGCGCAGCCAGGGCAGATTTCCAACCAATTGCAGAGGAGTCGGAATGGGGTATGTGGTAAGAGTCGTCATTCGTCGCGCCCGCTAATGACGACGATTTCAGGTGATATTGATCGATAATAGACAAGTATGACCAAAAATAGACATAAATGTCCACCATGAAATCCAATGCTCCAGTCGAAAAGGTAGTGCAAAATAAGGCGCGTCCATTGCCGCGCGCGACGACAATTTACGATTCTCTTGCCCGTCTCCCCTCGGAATGGTATCATTGTTTGAATAACGCCGCCCTTGCTGCGCTCGATCTGCGCTGCGCCAAACGCTCTATTCTTTACAGGGTCATGGCTGTGCATCATCGAAATGTGTGAAATGGCAGTGTTAATGCGATCCCGTTGACTCATAACCTCCCCCTTACGACCCCCAACCCATTAACTTCACTCCCTGTGTCTTTCCAAAATATTGCTACGCGGGATATATATCCCGCCTGAAATGAGGTAAAATCATCTGCTAGAAAAATTCGCTGTTCAGCGTAGAGGAGGACATAGTGAACTTTCGATAGTTTCTTTCATAATTCTTCCTGACGTACACAATGCGTCTTCACGAGGCGTGTACCTTTACAAGAGTACACAGGTCTCCACAGGAGGGGGAATTTCACTTTAGATAGGTTGACCTTACTTAGCACCTCGGCGTAAAGTCATGTACACACCTCACAGGAGGTACCGGCAGTGACGGCAAAATGCCTCCACCAAGGGGGACTGCGCCAAAATTCTCCCTATCCTCTTTTCTTCCTTCTCAGCTGCCAAATACGACCCCCTGTGGGGACTCGCACAACGCACATGCATGCTGCTTCATAGAACCATGAAGGGGTCTTGTCATTTCCAATGGCGATGGCCTATAGAGGAGATATAGGAGGCAAAGGTGACCTGGGTGTGCAGGATTTGACCCTCTGACCACGCATTCAATTGCAGTGCTGCTCGGTACAGCCCCATCTCAAACATTTTCACTTTTATTTCAGTTACACTTTCAAAACTCTCGCTTTCTTATTTGGAGTCTACAATGCCTTATATTATATCTCAATGAATCGATCAACATTGCTACTTTTCCACTTTCTTCTCATGGGAATTGAGTCTGACGTTACTCGAAGAACGTACTTTAAATTCGATGAGCATTCAAAAAGCATGAATTACTAGGGAAGAATGTAAGAACCTTCGGCTTTCAATTATGTGTCTCATACATCACCCCGTTCCTGTCCTAATAAAAAGTGAACTCTGTCGTTTCCAGCTGTTATCATTTTCTGCTGAGTCCGAGTTCCGTAGCTCCGAGAATTTTACTTTGAGCTTCTTCGGGGCACAATTATTTATGTTTCTGCTTTCAAGAGCGTTGCCTGGTCGACATTGAAAATCAGGATTATTTTCAGGAATAAGATTGTTGTTGTAGATTTCACCACTTGAAAACTGACTTATTGTAGTGCGGTTAAAAAGGAAATATCTCAGTTTTAATTGCTTTGTCAACTTCAGCGAATCTTTACTGTCATGGTCTGTCAGGGTCAGAGAGATCATCAAACGAAAAAGTCATGTAACTTGTTCCACCATTCTGTGGCAATTAGAAACCTGCTCGATAATTGCTTCACCTCCCACTGCTGGCTGGAACTACGCCCTCACCCTTCCACCCAAAAGTTTTGCCATTCCCCAATTTTCCATGGAAAAACGGAAAAACTTATCCACGGGTAGGTGGAGCCTAAGTAACAAGCGGACGATATGTACAGTGCATGATCAGACTCTACCCTTTTGTCCAACGAAGCTCACTTTCTGAGCGTCGGACAGGGCTCAACATGCTGATCGCCACTCCCGCTGAGTCTCGCTGTTCACATAGCCCCATCGGCCAGCAACTTGATTACAATTTGATCATCTAATTTCGCCCTTAATCGGCTCAGTGTTTTTCCGCTTTTCCACGGATATTTCTGGGGGGGATGTGTTTTTATTGGTAACGTAATTCCCTTGCTTGGGAATATTGCAAGGTTTTTCAGCGTAATTATCCGTTCCGAGGGCATATTGACCGGCTTCCGTTTTTTGATATTCTATTCTTTAGAGATAATGTCGCCTGATATTATGTTCTTTTCTACGATTATGTTGCAACCGCTGTGATTTTCCGCACTGACCGCGCTGAACAACAATGCGCTGTATGCTCTTCCACTTGAAGCCGTTAATAAGGCCCTATTTCGCACGCTCTTGGCTGTTTTGTCCCGTTCTTGTTTCAGTTTCGTAATCTTTAATAGCTCATGCACTCCCATTTAGTCTGAGCCAAAATGTGTGCCAACAGGGCAAGGCTTCGCCACGTCTCAGCCGCATGACCGTCTATTGTCGTCTGAAAAAAAAATGGTTCAGTATCGGTGGAGCTTTCCGCGTCTCCACCCCCCCCCCGGCCCAACAATCCAACTCCTTCGCGCTCGGCGGCAGTTTTTTTGGCGAGAAAAGAAGCAATCTTTGGACGTAAACTCCGTACCGTGGTATTAAGAGTTAGGAGAATTCGGAAAGCTGGAGTAGGCAAGATGGGAAGGGAGAGCGTATTAGAGGAAGGAACTTTGGGAGAGGGAGATCGTATCTTGCGAAAAATTCTCTCCACTGTAGAACGTATGCCTACGCCTTCAAGTGACTATCATCGACGGTTGAAACAAACCGAGTATAACACAAGAATTCTCGATAAGTACGCGGGAAAAAAAAGAGCCCCTCCCTCCCTTCCACTACGCCCTTTCAGGAGCCAGAAATACGTTAGTGGAGATTCTTCTTACATACAGAACAAAATGGTTGGTCAGGTACTGGCTTGCAATTTATAAGCGAGTTTGCAAGACTTAACTTTTCCAAAGTTGGTCAGAGAATTGCAAGTTAACTGAAGATAGTAATGAAGTTCAATCGGAAAAAAGTGAAAAGGAGAGTAGCCACTGATGGCTATGATCCAGCGATTGTAACCGTCTAGAACAGGAAATCCGATTCGGGTCGAAATGGGTCACTTTGATACTATCACCAGTCTCCTCTTTATCACTTAATCACTTGCGGCTGACATCTCCGGCGTCATTTTCATGCACCCGTTACAAGGAACTCTCCGGAAAAAGAGCGTTTACAATATTTATTAATAATTTGTCTTTTGCACATAAAATCGTCAGTGAGTAGGTAGGAGAACCCGGTTTCCTCCAACAAAGCGACCACCCATATTGGATGCCTCGATTCTGAAGGGAAAGCCAACTTGTCGAGCCTGAAAAGAAGATAACTGGGACGTCTAGAAAAAAAACAAGAAATAAAGGACTTAGATACTGCTAATTTCTTCGCGATCCACCAGCATTTGGGCTGCGTTCAACATTCAATGGGCGTCTGGCTTAAACTTTGGAGAATGGGACCACTAATAGTGAAATATTGCACGTTTCCGAAGATATGTTTGAAAAAGCAGCGATGCGTTACGAGAATAGAAAGCACTTTTTTATGCATACTTGACGCCAAATGGGACGACGTGGACAAATTTTCCCGTGAAATTGAAAACGTAATTAGACTGTTTCATCCGTCAGGCATTACGACATACATAGGATGTCTCACTGCCTGAAAAGCCGGCCTTTCCTTATGGCTCAGCTCAGCCCAACTCGATCAGCCGGCTTCATGCCCTTCCCTCCCACTATATCCAAAACTATCAGAGTTCGGAACTTCTACGGCTGAAGCGGTTTTCCGTGGTTTTTTCCAAGGTCGATAGGTTTTATTATTTTCTACATCTAATAAATTTCAAATGAACTATTTTCGGCGTTATGGCTGTTATACTGCATATACATGTTTGTCATGTTTGGAATGTTTGACCCCTATGAGGACCCCCTCACTGTTCGGAAAATTTACTCGCCATTATTGCGAAAAAGCTTGCGCAGTTAATATCGTCGCAATCAGTCGGGGCGGTTTTCTGGAGGATGGAATGGCCCACCCGCAGAGCTTGTACCACTGGTTGTGTTCTTCCTAGATCGACCACCAAACGAACACCATTGGTAAAAGGAAGGTAGGTCCATTCCGCCCCTTTTGACACCTCTCCGACTGATGGCGACTTTATCGACTATGTATCTTCTTCACTCCTTACGTTCATGTTCATGGAAGTTTCTGGCTAATTGCTCATCTGCCTTTCATCGCAAAAATCCCCTGGGGTTGCCGTGTTTTGAAAAGTGAGAAGTTTTTGCTTACCAATAAAAAATCAGCACCTCGACGACGTCGCTTCGTTTGAAACAGGTCTTCTTCGGGAGCAAAAACAAGAGGATCGATAGGATGGAGATTCTGTCCATAAGTTACCGAGATATCGTCCGTATCTAAACTATGAATTATTCACTGAGCAATGCATTGCAAACGTGATTGGTCCCATCAAAGGCACATTCCAGGCCGATTGAAGTCACTTGGTCCGCTACGCATTCAACAATGGTGGACCCCATTTTCTTACACGGAGTGAGGGTATACCAGGGGGAGCCGCTGTGCTTTAACTTTCCCCGCCCCTATGATCGGCGTCTAGAATATTGGTGTCAATGAAGGCACATCATTTGGTCGCTGGGAGTGGTTACCTGCACCACTGCGACCCTCTGATTGGTGAATTCACAAGGTCGCACCAATAGGAGTTGAGCAGTGGTATGAGCTGGTCGGCCCATGTGGTCAAGGTCCAGACTGTAACTTTGAAGGAGGTTTATCAGAATCTTATACTCTGAGGCTGGCTCTATTGCCTGCGCAACAATGTATTTCTTCTTCGAATGTTCGTCCAAAGCTAGGGCCTTATTTGAAGCGCCTTCGACAGTTTTGTCCTGCTCTTTTTTTATTGGCAGTTCAACTAGGTGGATTTACTGATTCATACTAGAATCCAGAAGCCCAGGGGTTGCATTTGTGGAATGTGTCGTCGAGAAGAACGACTGGAGATAAACCTCCACTAGAGGTAAACCAAAACTGTTTTGCAAAAACCAGTATTGCTCTGTCAGCTCGATGGCATCATTTTTTTCGCATTACTTTTCTTCCTTTTCTTTTCACTTCTAATGCCTTCTTAGTTTTTAGGTTTTATTTTTTTCGCTTAATATTTGGACACAGGTTCACCTCGATGGTAATTGCCACTGATAGGAAGTCGATATCCGATTCCTTTGCTGAGTGGAACCGGCAGGTCGAGTTCACCTTCGTAACCGTCCTCGATGTGCACGTTGGCCTCTACCTGAAGTTATCTTTAGCAGATTATTCACAAGTTCAGGATAGGCAATACAACTAAAAGTACTGCTGATATCAGTGTGACAGAAGATGACAGAGCAGTATGAGGGGCGCCTTTCAAGGCCCTTCGTTCCCTAACCAGATTTTACCAGTCAATAATAGATTTTGTTAACTCACCCCAACGCCAATTGAGGAGTGATACGGATTGCACACTGGTGGTCTGCACGACAGGGTGGCAAAGTTCTTTGGCAGGACTCCAACTGGTAGATTTGGCTGATTTTCTGGAATGATACTTGGAATCAGAGATCAGAGAGAAGATCATACAGTCTTGTTCGCTGTGGAGGACGGGAGGTGTCAGTGAAGCCAGGTTGGTCCACCGCCGCCTTTTTCTTTCTTTTTTCCTTCGACAAGCGACCAGACTGTATCATATCGTTCGTAACAGTGGTTTTCCACCAACAAGTGTCACTTATCCGCTTTAACAATGGTGGAGAATGGGTTGGCGGCGCGCCAGACCCAGCTTCTTCCACAAGCCCCATTAGCCACAGCGAACAAAAGTGTATTTCTGATTGCGGCTACAGTCCACCTCTTTGAAAATCTCTTGCTATTATTAACTTCTTTTATTATTGAAATCTGTATTATTTCCTTTTTTATCTTACGCAAAGCTTTTTATGTAAGAGCTGTTGCGAATTTCCACGAAGAAAGCAAACTGAAGGAAATTAACTTCCCCCGTTCCGACTCGACCCTTATCTGACTCGCCCATATGTTTAATCATAAGCTCTGCTATTATGTAATGTGCCTCTAGACCCTGCTATTCTATTTCCTCCCGGGGGAAGACAGTTTTTCATAAAAGCTGCAAAGCCTTCAGCTGTCACACAATTAATGTTGCAACTTGTTTCTCACTGCAAACATTCAACTTATTTCTTATGCAACAGTTCGGAGCTTGCATCAAAATTTTTAGAGCTTAATACCATCTGCGATAGTGATTATTTCATCTGCCGAAAGCAAGAACAGAAAACATGAAGATCACACTATTATGCTGTTCAAAAAAACCGTCACAGATCAACCAACTGATGGGCTTGACTTGAAATATACAACAAAGCCAGTTCTTTAAAAAATATCTGAGAAATCTATCCCTTTGAATTCTAGAGGTATGTGATTCTACTGCGGCAGGTATGTTGGTGTGTTTTTTTCACACTTACAGTCCTCATCATTGCAGGGACTGGTGGGCTGTGCGTGGACTCGGCTGTGACGCGCACGAGACAGCGCGTCAACAGCCGAGTCACACGCAAAAAAACCCCCCGCCCACGTTCTGCAATGATGAGCCACCTTATGTCCGGCGCAGTCTGCGACTTGGGGGGGGCTTTTGCACTCCGAGCCATCTAGAGAGCTCTTTCATGAGCAAGATATGAGTTGATGGGTTTTGACATGTTGGCTAGACGAGCTTTACAAGAGTTCACAGGTTTCACCAGAGCGGAACCTGTGAACCGCCCCATCCTTCGTCGTCGGATAGCGCCCTTATGTCCTTTACCTTTACCTTATCTCCTACATCCACGACTTATAGCCTTCTTCCCCATTCGCCTCTGTGCCTGCGGTCTTTTTAGAGCGCTTTCCACAGCCATTGATTAGCCGGGGAAAAGGAGGGACTCATGTCGACTGGCTATTTCATCCCACCCGTCCTTTCACCTTTTCCTCGACCCATTTAAACATTTTCCTTTGCTTTCAAGCTTTTATTTATCTCTTCAACCAAACTGGTGGTTCTGCGAACCTTTTCACATCTTGCTGGTATCAACCCCGGCTTTTTCTTTCTCTATACCCCTGCCACTTCGTACATGAAAGCCCATCCCACTCCGATCGTATGGGCGGAGTCACCGGAACCATGGCGCCCTACTCTTTGGTCCACTCTCCTCTTTGCCATCTTCGAAGGAGTTCTCATCATTGAGAAGGGAGCAATGAATCATGTAACCCACCTAATGACCGGTGTGGAATGCGCCTTCTTTCATAGCAATCATTACTGACCTTTGGCCATTATCCTACAGTAATTTGTGATGGCCATTATGCTACAATGATTTGTGACCAACTTCCTTGTTCTTATATATGAGGCCATTTGAAGGCTCACCGGGTGCAGTCCTCAGCAGCGATCCGCAGTTCAGAAGGGGTAAGTCAGCGGGATCTGTACCAGATCCGAAGAATGTGGTGAGGGTGGGGGATGTCGTATTAGAAATTTCTTACACATGTGCGTCTGTGGCTCACGCCTAGACATGGTCGTCAAATAGAAGATAGGACATAGGCTGCCACAAACAGTTGATTTGACAGAAGAGCTTTGTGTCGAGGCAACTAGCGAACAATATTAGCCAGTTTTCTAGCGATGCCTTCGAGCGTCTTGACCCTTTCGCACTCAAAATAGAAACAAAAAATCCGAAAAAGGTTCTTTTCAATGTGGCTCTGAATATCTCTTCAACTTTACACGTCTAATTAACTATGCATGTAATGATACGGCTTGTGCTCCTCGGCATTCTATTTAAATTATGATTTTTGATATCGAAAACAGGAAGTTTCCGCCATGAGTAAACATTTTGCCCCATGGCAGTTAAACGTTATGTCATTTTTCGTTGAAATTTCGTTGGCTTGTTAACGAGAGCCTTTGGACAGCATATTTGCCGTAATTACTGCAGTTATCTCAGACAATAATGATGGCCGAAATTCAAGCCTACACTTCGCAGGCTGACTCTGTCTTTCCACTGCTCTAAAAGCGCTTTCCTGGCGATGTTTGAAGCGTCTTACAGATTGAACCCAACGACATCTTTTCTGATATGATCATTAAGTCCATTGTTCTATGTTAGACGGAAGGTTTGTCTCAGTCGTTATCCCCGTGACTATCAGCGGCGCTTCACAACGGGTAGATGCCTCTAATTGAGTTTCATCCCGTTATAAGGTATCAAATCACATATTGATCTGTGCTCGCTTCATGAAAAACACGCATAATGAGCTCAACCTGCCCGGACATCCTTGATTTCTCCTGTTTCTGTGTAAGCCGCACCTAATGACATGCACTTCTTCGTTTCAAACGCCTCTGAAATCTCTCACGGGGAAATCCCTTGTCTCGTCCCTTGCTATGGCTAAAAAATTATCGCTGTTTTTCCATGTCGATCATTACCATTTGCTCTGTTTTCTAGTATTTAAGCTCACCCATATACTTTCCTAATGCCTGGACGAGTACGGCTGGCATTCGAGCCTTAGCGCAGAATGGGTCACTCCTGGGATATATCAGTTTGAGACAACTGTCATCTTGTTCTATGTTCGACAGAGACACGACACATCTGTGCGAAAGTTGTTAATTGAAAATGTCTCTGCAAAAGCACAACCATCGCCATGTCTGGTTGAAATGCGCGGCCACGCCTACCACGTCTCGAGGGTATAAGACGCAATTCCGCTTCGAACAAATGTTTCTTGCCTTTAATTTTGTTTTTTGTTCGTTCTTATCCATTTTATGATCTCCATTCGATAATAGTTGAAAAACAAGTGGAAGATTGAATTGTACACAAAAGGCAGTTGCGTTGTGCCTTCCAGCTTTTCACGCGCGTTGTCGCGTGCGACTCTGCAAAACGCGCCATAAAGAAGGATGAATTGACAATAAGTCCCACGTGGTTAATTAGTTGGATGGTAGTATTGGAAAAATGTTGAAAAATTAATGAAGAGGGGAGACTATACAAAATAGGCAAAATAATGCTGCTTTCCCAACAAAAAAATATCGTCCGTGCCGTTCTGCCAGCCTTGCTACATTAGGCGGACGCCGGTTTATAACCCAATTTTTCATTTCTGTTTCTAAAATATCGAAAGCATTTTTGATGAGCGATTTTTTACCGCATGATGAGAACCTCTAAAAAAGGGCTTTCACGGCTTGGCCTGACTCATGCTCCACGCATTAACACTGTACCGGAAAAGGTTTGTTTCGTGTCCAAAAGCAACTCTGTGCGTGGGAGGCGTGTGATTTACGAGCGCTAAAACCTTCCCTAGCCGTCTTCTCTTGCTAGATCACCTCATATTGGCCAGCAGTTTGTTCATTCTGCAGAGACTGATACCCGGATGATTCCAGAACCGGCACATTCTTTGAGCAAAGACCGAACCTTTACTGTCGAGGGGTAGCTCTAGTCCTCAGTCAACCCTTCTTGCAAATCCCTCTACCTCCGCTTTCAGTATTGACGTCGGGGGAAAAAGAGGAGAGTAGAACTGAGTCCGTGCCTGCATCACGTTGTTGATCAGTGTGTCCAGGTATCAAATTCTTGTCCCACTCTCCAGCAAAGTTCGCTTTTAGGCATTTGTAGAACCGCTTCCCCTACTGAGTGCCTAACCGGAAGGGCAAAAACTTTCTTCTAGTTCGCAGGAGGCGTGTGGAGCCAGCGCTGTCTGAGATTCTTCTAGGCCACATTCTGAGCGCCGCAACCCGAATATCAACCTTAGAGATTGTCTCATTCTTGAGTACATGGCCGTACCAGCGAAGTTTAACTCCGCCCATTTCGTCAGTTGCGGAAGCTACACCAAGTATGTCATTTTTTATATCCTTGGAAACGTAATCAGTAGGGGTAACCCCGGCTGTCCAGCGCGATGTTCTCGTCACCGAGGCTCTTCAACTTCGCTGGTGGCAGGCCAGAACTCAGCACGATATAAGGCAAGGCTCGAACAGTGCCCTGGAGCACAAGTTTCGTGGAATCTAACGCAATCTAGGTCAGGCTGATAGTGTGGAATTATTAAGTTTGCGGCTTTCACCGATCTCTTTTAGGAACGGCATCTTACTTCTATTGAAAAATCTTAGCGGCTTTTCAACCCAATTTGCACTATACAAAGCCTTGCTTGGGCTAACCAATGTACGTTTCAATGTTTTTATATTCCCAGAAAAGTTGGATACCACTTATCTGGATCCGGAAGGAGAGATGTTAATTTGCTCTTATGTGCGCCCTTTCCAAAATTGTCTTCTCTTTGGTTTGTGGGCGGGCAACTGTGACAGTTCTGACGCCCCGCCCACCGAAACTCAATAGCTATCTTCTGTTACGTGTTCGGTTTTTACACCGCGTTTTTCGTTTTTCTTTCACGGTAGATTGTATCGACATTGGAAAACGCGAAGGCGATCGGGAGCCAGAGGCGGCAGGATGTCGTTTTGCTTGCATGAAACGAGCAAGGTCCGGACAACTCGTTCAGTGCAGTGAGGCTGCCAAGGGGCCTCACGGTGTTTCAGATGATTTTTTTTTTTTCCCCTGAATTTTTGCCCTGCTTTTTTCCGTGATCACTTGTCCACCATAGGCTCGATATTGAACGCCCACAACATGCTATTTCTTCAAGGTGTCTTGGGTCTCTACGGGAGCCACCGGGCTTCTCGCGTATATGATCTCGATTTCGTTGAAAATAGTTCCATATGAGTAAGGGCGGTTGTCGTGCGCAACAGTGGACTTCGGTTTCTTTTGTCACAGGCCATATATATACATCGGCTAACCCCAAAATGACTTATTGGGGCTAACCGATGTATGCTTCATGGTTTTTATATTCCCAGAAGAATAGATACCATTCATCCAGATCCGGAGGGACAGATGTGATCCGCCCGCGTAGGATCCTTTTCGTTTTTCTCCGCCAGTTCCCCCTGTCCTGAAGGTGTAGGCAGCGCCATTGCTATGATTTTCAAGTTTTCTTCTAATGTCCACACTTATAATATTTATCTTTCTAGTTGACTCCAGACAGTTTTTTATGGTTCTATGCCGACTACTTCCTACAAGTGCTTTGGTTCTATGCTGACTACTTCCTACAAGTACTTTGAAAAGGATGATGATCTCCAACTTTGTATTCGAATTAGCTACCTTGTTTGTAGTACATGCTTCGGTGATTTCTTTGTCCTAAGGAGGACTCCTGAATTCGATACCTCACTATGCGCATAATATCGGCGCCGCTTGTAGCTGCATCACTTACCGACTAAATAGAAACTAGGACAAACGACTGAATAGTGCGTATGTTCATTGGTGAGAGGGTTCAGGAGAATCTTGAGTTGCAGCTCTTTGTAGAGGCATCTTCACAAGTGCCGGCTTCTCCCTTGCCTTGTACTTGTCGCTGCACCACATTCAGTGTCATCCAGGCACATTGTCATTACTGCATTCCTGCACATCCTCATGCTAATGGAGAGAATATTGAAGATTGTGGTTGCGAATACAGAGGTCTCACTCCAAGCTTCCCTCAGGATTAACCCTCATGAACCTTCTTCAGCTGGGATCAGCCCCTCACGTAGTCAATTTCACTATTTCAGAAAATTTTCGCAGGGCTCACCCGCCTGTCCCCGAGGTCGAAGAAGTTTTCCTGGGTGAGGGGGGAGTATTAAGAGGAAATCTCCTACGTTTCTATGACGTGCCCAAGTGCAAGGGATGACAGTCTTTGGCTCCCGAGCCTTTTTTCTCTGGAACGATTCTGCCTTGATTTGCAGTAATAGCTCCAAGACAGGCGTGATAAACAACCCCATGCGGAAGACTTGGAAGAGAGTTTCCGGCAATTTTTTTTGACCCATTTTCTGTTTAGTTGCTAGATACGCTTAAACCAACCCTTGTTATGAAGGGCACTACGCTTAAACCAACCCTTGTTATGAAGGGCACTCTGCCTGCTGTATTAATGGGCATCGATCTCGAAAAATTAATTTTGTCGAGTTTTTCATGTTCAGTCGCCCAACTTGTGTTTTTACGCAAGGCGTCTAGTATCGGAATACTGTGGTGCTTCTATTTAATCCCCATTTTCACCGATTTATTGCAGCGTCTGCTAGGATGAGTTTCATTACTATTCGGACGAGCTCTGAAAGAAACTAATTACCAGTTCGAAATCCTACAAATGAAACTGTCAGAGCCTTCATCTCTAGCAGATGGTAAAATGCTGACTGAAATGGCCCTACTATCTGAATATCCACATTTAGTACGACACTCATTCAACTGCAAGGCTCCACTTGCTGGCTAAAGACGAGCTTCTCAATATGGTACGTACTGGTAATGGCTCAATCCTCCACCA